CTCGACGTCCGGGAACAGCAGGTTCGTCTCGAACGCGAGCGCGTACATGAACACGAGGATCTCGAAGCCGCAACACCACGCGCGGAACGGCCGCGGGACGGACGCCGAGTAGAGCGTGTACCACCCGTAGAACGGGTGCCCGAGGTCCATCCCCGTGAGGAAGTTGCGCTTCCAGCCGGCCGTCAGCACGTCGTGGTCGTCGTGGCCCTCGTAGGGGTCGTCCTCGGCGTCCGACGCCGCGGCGACCGCCGACGCCGCGCGCGCGGCCGCGGCGTCGCGCGCGTCCAATCGCAGACCGTACGCGTGCGCGGCGACGCAGGCTAACAACAGCGCGAGCAGCGCGTAGATCATGACGACCGCGCGGCTGAGATCCGGCGGTTCCGTCAGGTTCTTGAAGTAGACGCTCCCCGCGTCCGTCTTCTCCTCCTTCGTCGAGTAATCGAGGGGCGGAGCGTCGCCGGCCGTGTCGACGCCGCATTCGCACGTCGTCGTGCCCCCCGCGCCTTGCACGGTCTCGCACTGCGCGAGCCACGCTTGGGAGCTCGAGTTCCACGAAGCGCACGCGTCCTCCGTGGCCGGGCACGTGACCGCCTCGACGCCCGGCAGCCCGTCGCACGCGTGATCTATCGTCGTGTTGTCGGGGCACGTGAAACTGACGTTCCCCGTGAAGCCGCACGCGCAGGTCAGGTTGGCGCCGGGCGGCTTCGGGCGGCCGGCGATGCCTCCAGCGATGACGAGCGCGACGATCGCCGACGGACCGCCCGCGCCGACGGTGGCGTTGGCGGCCGCGAGGGCGCGGCGACGTGCTCGACGCCGGCTTGAAGCCTCGTCCGAAGATGACGTGGACAGGCCGAAGCGAGTGACGCTCGATGTGACCGCGGGGCCGCGATTCTCGCCCGCGTACGGGTCCGACGTGTACTCGGCGAGGGACGCGTCGTAGCTGCCGTCGCCGGCGAGGCTCGCCGGGAGCTCCACGGCCGACGCGGAATTGTCGAGTACAAGGGACCGCGTCTCCCCCGGAGATGTTGCGTTCGGACTGAGCCGCTGGGCCGAGCTGCGCAAGTTCGCCGACGCGATCGATTGAGCGTATTCGCCGGCGACGGCGCCGTAGAGCTGGGCCGAGAGAATCCCGTCTACTGCCGCGCCGAGCGAGGCGCCCGCACTCGTCGCATTCGTACTGTTTTCGTCTTCCGCGACAAAAAGCGTGCTGCCGAGGAGACTCGAGAGCGTGTTGCCAAGCTCGGCGGCCGCGATGGCCGTGATGCCGATCCCCGTCGATGACGACGAGAGCCCCAGCGCCGAATCTAGCGCCGACGCCGCCGCAGACACGGCGAGGCCAGAGCCGTTCGCCGCGACGGACAGGAGCGCCGACGAAGTCTGCTCGACGAGCGACGCGTCCACGTCGAGGCCGCTCACGACGGAGCCGACGGCGTCGATCATCGTCGACGTGAGCGCGACGTCGCCGCTCGCGGCCGTGGCGGCGGCAACGACGGTCTGGCAGACGCCCTCTCCACTACCGAGCGAAAATGCTCATCCAAGAGGCC